AAATCAAGTAGTATCTATATCTTTCGGTCCAAGAGCTGAAGAAAGTTAAAAAGGCAATTTAATTTGTGGAATGATACTTTTCATAAAACTTTGTAATCAATGAATACTACAAGAAAAACGAAAACTTCAGACCTGTGTCGGAACGTTAGAGTGCATGGATCTCTAATATATGGTTTGAGGAAGTGTTAAAAAGCTGGATCTTACCCTTTTGAATTTATATAAGATGTGCCAATGCGGCGAGGATATAAGTAACACTATTGAGTAACATATCCAAAGTTCAATAATTGTCCACTAAAGTCATTTTCGTGTAGCGTTTGTGCTTGAAAATATTTCTGCCATTCTAAAAGATATCGAAGTTGCGCGCCGTTGTGTGCATGTTAAGGGAGCTCAACCCTTTATCGTGCACCCACGATATCCCAACATTAAGGTCTTAACATATTTCCGTGAATGTATCAAATTGCCGCTCTGGGCAAAGTTTCGGCAAAGAAGAATTTTCAAATTTTGGAGTCCGAGTGCACTTATACACTAGTACTGAGAGCAGTACAATAGAAAACAACAGCAGTCATAAGTTGAAGAAAGGAAAAGGGAAAAAACAAAGAAAATTTTGGTAATTGGATGATCCTAGAAACTGTGGAGCAATGGTTTAAGCACGTTTCTATGTTGATTTAGGCGTAAGCGTTAATTTTCAACGAGGGGAATGCACATAATCAGGCACAATGGTGTTTGGTGTTGTGCTGCTAAGTAAAACACTTAGCTGTTTTCTTATCAAACACAGTACATCCAAATCATTAAAACTCCTATGACAATTAGCTCGGCAACATGCGGGCATAGTTTGAGCATTCGCAATCGCATGCTCTTAGGTTGTCTTAAATGGTTGGTTTACTTCAAAGTACGCCCTGTGTTACAGTAGAATTACAAAGCGCTGCATCACATCTATGTGACATTTACTGGAGAGAGAGAGTTGTAGCCCACCCTCTCAAAAGTTTTCTGTCTTTATTTCTACAACGTTAAGTTAAGAAATAAGAGAATTATGAGCATTGCGTTTTTTCCTGTTCTGTTTGTTATATGTTAAGTTTGCGTATATCGTGAAATGTGTATTTTTCAGAAATCAGGTTCACTGTTCAATATGTCAATTTTAATTGCAATTAATTTGCTAAATTATATGGATAGGTTTACAGTGGCAGGTGTACAGAATTTCCTTGATGTTATTATCACTACTTTATGACAATGAACATGTTCAACTTAAGGAGTTTTAACAAACATACAAACATTTTTTGGGATTAACGATGCTGATGCAGGTCTGCTGCAAACTATTTATATGATCTTTTTTATGCTTGCTTCGCCGATTTATGGCTTTTTTGGTGATAGGTGAGAAAAAATTACACGTGAAAATCTCTCACTTTTATCATATAGCTTTTGCAGGTATAACCGAAAGTATATAATGACTGCAGGTTTAACTCTATGGACATCTACAGTCTTGGTCTCTACCTTTGTTCCTAAAAACGTAATAATCCTATCCTTTTCCTATTGTGCTATATGCAGTACATGTCATTAGTTACATATTAAGGACTCTTTTCTTTAAAAGTAAACTTTCATTGTCCAAGCTATCGTGATCCATACCAACCACGCCTAGAGAGTTATGTGGAAGAAATTTTTTGCATTTTAGACTTTCTGGTTGTTTCTTTTTCTGCGAGGAGTGGTTGGAGCAGGAGAAGCATCGTATTCAACAATTGCACCTTCGGTCATTGCCGACATGTTCGCTGGTTCAAGTAGGAGCCGCATGCTAATGTTGTTCTACTTTGCTATTCCATGCGGAAGGTTAGTGTCGACTAAAAACAGCTTTTGAGAGAGTGCTATAATAATTGCTCAAAGTGGTCTTGGCTTCATAATTGCTACTAGAGTAGCCGCAATCACTGGCGATTGGACATGGGGTGTACGTATAACAGTCTTCCTTGGTGAGGCTGCTTAACTTCTCTCTTCTAAGATGATTTGGCTTCACACTGACTTAAAAAATTAAGGTATTGCTTGCGTCGCACTGATATATACTTTTGTAAAAGAACCGGAACGAGGCGCCGCAGAACGAGAAAAGGGTGAAATTGCTAAGTCCCTGAAAGCCACTAGCTATTGTGAAGATCTCAAATGGCTCACAACGAAGTTCGTTGACAGATTTTTAGCGGCTCTTAAAAGTGTTTTTAAGTATGACATATATCTTCGGCACTGCTGCATACACGGCAATTGTTTTTATGGTGGGAACATTGTCGTGGTGGGCTCCCACTACTATTGAGCATAGTGTTGCTCACGAAAAGGGATTGAACAGCACAGACTTGTTACCTGCAGAGGATAAAGCTCGGCAAGTTTTTGGTTTTATAGGTGCAGTAGGGCTAAGTTTGGTGGAAGCAACTCACAAGCAATCTCTTTTCAAACAATCTTTGGTTCAAGCAGAAGTTCTAATAACCCTTCTAACTTTGGCTTAGGGATGAATCTTTTTTTCTAAACCTTAAAGTTGGGCTTTCAATTTCAAAATACAAAAAAAAGGGCTTCTTCTTTTTCTAAGCTAACAATTAAATTACTTCTTCAAATTAAGATTCTCATAACTTCAAGTTATATTATATCCAGAAGTCATGTTTATCTGGGTTTCAACATGCATAAATGACAAGCTTTTAGCATAAATCTGATTTTTGGTGCTCTTACGTGTGTTGGCGGAATTGTGGGTGTAGGTCTAGGATCAGTCCTCTCTATGGTATGTGATTCAAAAAGATGTACTCTTGATAAATACTACATACTACATATTTAGCTCCTCCGCAATGGAGTTGGGCCGTTCAAGCATTGTCAGACTGTACGATCAGATCCAATCATCTGCGGAGTCGGAGCACTCATTGGCGTACCAACTTTGTATTTTTCACTCCACTTAATCCCAGTTGATTTGAAAGCGGCTTGGGTATGTCTTCATGCAGTAGATAAATAATCCGATTAGCATGTTACCGTTGTGTATAATCATTATGCATGAAGAAAGAGTAGAAATTAATAAATACATACATAAATGCTCATTACATTTGCTAAAGCAAATTCTGGATGACCTGCTGGACAAACTGTTCAAAATACCATCCTTTCACTATTACAAACGCTACAATGCGGTTGGTATCACTGCTTGGATATTCACAAGATCTCCCATCTTGAAACCTTGGATGGTTACAATTTGATCTTGATATTATCATGCTGTAACAGATTTTTATAGAAACACTTTAATTCGTTTTACGTTTCTGCTCAACGCCGTTCTCAGAGGCCAGTGAGTCGATTACCAGGCGCTACCATCAAACACCTCTGTCACATCACATATTCGACTCCTCCTCAATGATTGCGGCTGAGTCAAAGCTGA